CTTCTCAAATTTTTTGCGGGTCCACAACCCCACGCCTTTGGAAAAAATCCGGGGCCGATTTGAGTTTTTAAAAAATTCTAAAGTTATTTCAATTGCTTACAAAAATAAACAAGTCACTTGCGCATTTTCATAACCCACGTAGGTGAATTTCAAAAACTTCGCGACACATTCTCGGGGAGGGCCCCCCTCGGTACGCCACTGCCTTCAGGACAAAGTTTACCCTCACGGTTCGTTGAGAAATACGGCCACAGAGTAGAAAGTATGTGCCTTAGCAAGTAAGAAACTCGTGGAAACTATCTAGATGAAGATACAATTTTTCTTTCGATTTTTAATGCATTCTAATCCTTTTGGTTTGGTTTTGAACTTTATGCTGAACAAACCTTAGCAGTGTGGGCGTCGTCTTGTAGAGCTTGGCTTGCTCTATCGAGCAGTATCCCTTTTTTGAGGTTCGCTACTCAGACAAACGCCGGGAAGTTCCGGCGAACAAGCAAAAATTGTCAAAGTTCCGAAGGACCTTGTTAGCCATTGGGGTATGGAAATTAGAAAGTTCCCGTGATTTATGACGTCAAGGGAGCCGCGGATGCAAAGTTCCGGAGGAAGCCTTGGGAACTTTGACAAAGGTAGGAAAGTTTCCGTAAACTACACTAAATGAGAAGTTCCTGCGAACAATGTCGTGCTAGCCGGCCCAATCGGCGCGGGACCACGTTTCGAATGCGCGCGCTTGAGGAAGCGGATGTCGAAATACACAACGCCGCACTTTAGGATTTCGTTTGGAGGTAAGTTTTTTTTCTCTGTTATCAGTTGTTTGTAATCAATCCTTTTCAGCGAACAGCAAGTCGAGAAAAGCAGCGCACGACTGCTTGCACGCGCAAAGACGTTCTATTTGGGAAGAAGCTGTTCGCAGGATAGAACTCAAAGAAAAGAAGGTAAGGACTCAATTATTTTGTCTTCTCAGATATCGTACCTTCACGTCTCTTCTCTTTTATTCTTTCTCAAAAGTTATGGGACGCTTTTTTTGGCTGTTTCATCTTCTTACTCTTCTTTCTTCCTGTTCTCCCTCTTCGTAATGCTAATGTATTTCCTTCTTGTCCGTACTCTTATTTATTTCTGTATGCTCGTCTTCACTCTCAATCTGACAAGCGTCCCCAATCTTGGCATTAGAAATTAATTCCTTAACAACATTTGAAAAATCACTCAGTTTTATCAGAAAAAATCATCTGCCGTAACTGTCCGCTTCATGTTACATTGTTAAGACATTTGGACTACTTTCAATTTCTTCCCAATAATGTCCTCTTGATTTTGTGGCTTCTGCATTTCTTCAATAGTTAAGACGACTCAGAGGGAAGTTGATCGGGTGAGATAGATCGGACGGCTGAAAATGTGGTCATTTCTGATAAAACTGACATCATAACTAAGGGACCCGTCATCTTGATCCTCTTGATCCTCTTAATCCACTTGATGCGCTTGATCTACTTCGTGCAAAATGCGCGTCACTAATTTGTCATCGTCAATTGTCATTTGGCGTCGCGCACAGCGAGTTTGCGTAACCATACAAAATTTCTTTTCACCTGCGCGGCGTCAGTTGAAAACACTGTATCATAGAACCCAACAGTTTGTCACTTGTACACTAGTCAAAACAGGCGTGTAGGGATTGTGTAGCTGCTGTAACTGCCATCGCTAAAAATGTTTTACTGAGTATGCGTCTCGACAACCATGTAAATCAAATGATCCACACTAGCATATGGTGAAAATGAGATTTCAAAAAGCACTCGAAATTGAAGTTCAGCCATAGCAATAAATCAATCATGACCAAAATTGGGGTGTTTGTTTTCAAGACTGTTCTTTTGTATAGCTATGATTGTTCACAAAAGAGGATAAGGTGGATAGACTGAAACAGATCCTTAGTGTTTAACGTCCGCTTAACGATACATCAAGCGAATTCAAGTACGAAAATTTGAGACAGGACCACCTCATTCACTTCAGGCGCCATTCAAGGTTATTAGGAACTAACTGCTGCAAAACGTTGAATCTTATTTGTAGGAAGTCAATTTGAATGAATTTCTGAGGAAGAACGCCCCTCCAAAAAGAGTGGTGCGTATTTAACTCTGTAACAAAATGAGCACCACGTAGACTGTTCTTTACGGCAACCGCATGAAAAGTGGTCATTAGTTGAGATTCCGACAGATTAACACGTTGACAATCACTTGACACACATGTTGTGTCAAGGCTTAACACATCATGACTCCCATTGGAATGGCTACTATTTTGTTTCAAACCAACTCTGGGAGTTTTCTTTTATGCTGAATCTAGATACAACCTCTACTGTTTTTGCCAGCATTCCAACGCTACTCTAGGTGTACTGTAGACGGAATTGCGCGTGTCTTATCTTATCTGAAATCTTATCTGAAAAATGTTGGCTGGTCCGAGAAGGGCTTTGGTCGTCGGTGTGTTAAGCAAGAAACTCCCGGGAACTTCAACTATAGAAGTTTCCGTGAACTACAGTCTTTTGAAAACTTTCCGCGAACACTGGATGAAGAATCTCCGGCAAACTACAATCTTTTGAGAAGTTCCAGAGAGCTTCAGAGTTGAAGTTCCCAGGAACTTACAATGGAGTTCCCCAGGTGACCCGCCGGAGCTTTCCTTAATGTTCGCCGGAACTTCCCGGTGTTTGTCTGAGTAGGTTGCGGTGCCATAGCATGCAGTTAAATACGACATTTTTTTTGACAACCTAATAGAAACTTCCCGCGCAGATATATTTGAGAGATGCACGAAGACTGCGTTTACGGTGATGATCATGGAAGGCAACTTATCCGTAGCTTGACTGTATCTAATTTTGCGCACCATCAGCTTGCCTGCTGTAATTTTAACACCATCAGCTTGCTTCCTATAACGTTAGCCTCATTTCTTAACAACAATTTTTTTTTATTCCGAGGAGCTCAAGTCTTTATAACGCCTGACAAAGGATCGTTTTCAAGATGACAGATTTCATAAATTTGATGCTCTTTTGCTTCAAAAAGCCCAGGTGACAACTCCATCGTATGTGTTTTGTTCACACTGCATTTTTCAAGTTTTACGACCATGTCGCTCATAGTAACATGGAAAACATTGTGAACATAAAATCACGATGCAAGAGACACATTCGAGAAGAAGATCCGGCACGTATTAGGCCCCGGTCAGACTTCACGCGACTTAATCGTCGCGACCAAATCGCCAAGATTTCCATTCATTTTCATTTCACATTCAAAAATTTCGGTCTGGAAAAGTGTCACAACCGAATGCAAGTTGATCTGCATGGAATGATGTTGTAACAGTTGTCTCCTCGCGATTCAGTCGCGACGATCAAATCGCGTGAAGTCTGCCCGGGGCCTTAGGGAAACCAACATTGAGTTTTTAACTTCAATTTGATAACCTCTCTCTCCTCGAAGATAGCGCGCTCGAACTTCCCATAAACGTTAATGATTACGAAATGCGCCATACTACCAGCTTCTGAGTTTATCTTGCCTTCTGTAGACTTGCTTTCAGAAGTACAACCATGAACAGTCCTATAGATATCATGCAATTTATGATCATGCTCTGGTTTAGTCATTAACTGGGGTATGCACCGAATGATCTTTTGAGAAGGACTGAAAAATGAGTGCTTCTGTCAATATTTTATAGAAGCCTGATTATTGAAGTTAACAGAATGGAACTTGTGTTCTAGAAATTTTGAAAAACTCCGAACCAAAAAGAAGCACAGAAAGCCCATGGAGTTGCAACACCGCTGACTACTACATTATGACTACTACTGCTACTACTACTATATTAACATTTAGTTTACGGTTGACGTAGTGCCACTGCAGTGCCGACAACACTTGCGCGAAAACAAAGGCCATGCTTGTGAATAACGAGAATTTGCTTGCAACCAGCGAGTTGTAATCAAAATAGTCATGGAAAGCACATTACCATTCTTCATCCGCATACATTTCGGCGGAAGATTTGTCTGCAGTAAAATTGAGACTTAGTAAAAGGAGTTATAGAAAGCATTTGATTAATGAAGACAATGATAATGCGAGAAGAGAGTTGTCGGTTCTCCAGAGCACAACCTGCAATTAGCTGAAGAACCACCAAAGGTATGTCTGTGGATATGGGTATCGAGTGTTAAGTATCCTTGAGGTGAGTTTTGATCAAGATATCAGTGATGAGACGGTCATTGGATGCCATGTACGAAAAACGATTTTCATACTAGGTAAGTTGCATTCTCAAGGACCCAAAATCAACAGAGGTGTTTGGTGCCTCAGATACTTCGTCTAGATTCTTTACGAGAAAGCCCAGTCTAGGATCTGCACTTCATTTCACGTCAAAACATCCCAGCTATGCCTATTACAATTCGAGAGTGTTTGCAAGTCATAAAAATTTTGGTATTAACGATAATGGAAATTGAGGGTGACATTCACACGACTCAGCAAAGCTGCTTTAAGAAATACCTAAGTGGACTTTTGGTGGACAAGAAATAGTAACAAACTGTTGTTTTCACGCAGAATTGCCTAGGTGATAAAACACAAGCTTCTGCAGTATATATATATATACAGGTAGAAGCGATGACGAGAAGAAAAGACGGGAAAATTTCCTATCAATCCGGAATGTAATTATGGACTACTATGCGACTACTGTATTTGTGGTTTCAAATTCTTATCGTTAGAATTAAAGCATTCTTTGCATTTAGCTGTAAGCTTTTTGAATCTTTATAAAAAAAACTTTATAAGCGGTTTTTTGTGAGATGCGACTAGTTGCTGCATAGCAGTTTTTGTTAACGATGAGATTTTTTCCTTGCTGTTATGATAATAAAACCAGTGTAGTAGCTCTACCTTGACTTATGCTCTTGAAGGCTGAAGTTTCACTTCAAATTGTTTCCTTTTCGATGCTGAATTTGTCGTAACAAAATTTTTCTGATATAACAGCTCCCAGTCAGAGATAACCGTTTATGTGCAATAATTTAGAAATTCATGCACAAGGTAGGAAGCATTTGATGTAAGTGCGCCTTGAACACATTTAATTTCTCTTCTATACACATTTGCATCCCACGTACGGTCTCCGGCCCATGTCTTTGTTCCAATTGAATATACATATTCCTTTTGTCCCCTAAAAAAATTGCATAAAGAATTACTGTTGTCATTTCAAGCAAGTTGCTAGTGACAAGTTTTGCATTTGTAAAAACATGAGGAGTTTTATGGTCTTAGGAATTTCGTTCCTTCATTCTGGAAAAGGGGCGAAAGAGGGAGAAGGCAAGAAAGGCGAAAAACGCTTGAACAGCGCAACGAGAAAATGATCACAGTAGGTTAGTTAATTGTGCTTGTTGAAGGTACTCCTCCAAGTGAAATGGGGTAATTCCATATTTATCGGAATTGCGGATCAGAGGGAGTGGCATCAAAGGTTCCATGTACCACACAACTGTGCAAGCCAGTGTTTTTGCTTGGGAATAATAAAATTAATATCTGAAAATTTATGACAGCATTGGCTCTGCAAAGTTGTGGCGTAATGACACCAAGCTTCCTCTTTTCCAAATTTTAGGAATTACCCTATTTTCAGGTGTATAAGCCGCACCCTTTTACTCTAAACGCGAGTAGACCCAGGCGTGCCGCCGCGCATATGTATCGCGAGCGGTCGCCTTATCGCATACTGTTCTCATTTAACGCGCTCCATGATGACAGTCAGTCTTTTGGCGTGTTTGCCTTTGAGCGAAAAGGGTGCGGCTTATACACCTTAAAATAGGGTACATCTCAAGAAAATCGAAACACATTTCAAAAAATTTTTCCTTCGTTTGATCATCTGCCGCGAACTCGAAGAAGTTGGAGTCATCATTATTGTTTAGTATCACATTTTAATGTTATTGCCTCCTTAATTTTTTTAATCAAATTTACTATGCGCAGATACATTGATTCCTTACCTTTGCCTTGCACTTAAGCTGACATTTTTTAAGGTCACAGCTACCTACAAAGCTGGTAGAAAAGCTCTTTGCGCCGCCTGTCAGGAATGAAAACAGCAGAAAAGTGAACAAGAATAGATTCATGTTTGTAGAAGACAAAATGCTTATTTTCACAGGCTGTGTTGTTATCAGAAGCCTGCTCCACAGGTGTTTTCTTATAAATCAAACATTTGATTTGAATATTCACACAAGCATTTCGTTTACTTTATGCCGTATAATATATCTTTTTTCATATCTTTATGACAGGCAGCGATAAATATCCGTTTTTATTCCTATCATGCAAGCTGGTTTGTGTCACAAAACAAAAACGACCACATTTATTTTCGATAGAACCCAACGTATAAGAGATAGATGAGTTGTGTGCAAAGAAGACTCAAATCCAGGACGTTGCACTACGTCTGCAACGGATTTATTCAATGCAATATAGAAGAAATCCTTTGAAACGAAAGAACAGCTACAAAAGAATCAAAAAGCTCTGTAAGTTTCCCATTAGATCAAGTAGGTCCCTCTACGAGCTCAGCGGACAAAATTTGTCTAGTGCGTTTCGGCTGCAGTAGCGGCAAGCGACGCGGTCCGGAGGCTCCCAAGTGAATATGTGCTATTCGTTCGATAATCCTGAAGTCACATGTACGTTGCTGTTGTTCCACAGGTTTGTGGAACATAAGATACCATTTCTAGCTGAAAGTCCTGCCTTAATTCTAAAGATTGGAATTCAAAGTTTGGGACCTAACGAGCCGTTGAATTCGGATTGTCCCGGATGTGCTGCAGTACCGTAATGCAGTACATCCAAGACAATCCAAGCCGTACTACGGTCGTGTGTTGTGTTACGATAAGTTACAAAATTATCTGGCCTGAATTCTGCTCGAGGATTGCATGTCTCGGCCAAGGATGTGAATTTGATTATTAGGTTGGTCCGAAAGTTCGTGCTGTTTTCAGATCTATGCTCAAACCACTTACAATGAAGATAGACAAACGCTGTAGACACTATCAGATGCAAAAATTTTTCCTCTTTCTAATGGTTGTGATCCTATTCAGAATCCTTTAATGTTCACTCAATAATCTGCAGGGATCTCCAACTGTTGATGATTTCTGGATCATCAACCATTGATGAACTCTATAATCTGTATAGCCTACGGGATCCCCATAGGCTAAATAGTGAGCTACTCACTCTCGAGTATCTAATCACTCAAGAGTGAGTGGTACCTGTGTGCGCCAGGAGCGTAGCCAATCGGCGGCATCTCCTTTTAAGCACCAACTCGTATACTTTGTACCTTGTATTCGGTTTGGCTCCACCTTTCTTCGTATATAAGGAGCCTCCGAATGTATTAGAGGTTCCTCCCCGGTTCACACCGGGACGCCTTGACAGATCGCTCTCAACTAATCTACGTCAGGGCGAATAAATCTATATTCCACTTCGTCTACCCCATTCACTTGGTACACACCAAACCAACCCAAGATTTCCCATCTTCAGTTTGACTATTTTTTAAAATTTCTATTTTCAACTTTTGGACTAGCCTTAATGACACTTGGATAGAATAAACAAAATGCAATACAATGGACTATTTTGGCTCCATCAACTAGCTCTTCAGTATTTTGTAACACTTTGACAACAACGTGACCCATACGGTGAGTCATGCAGTGTTTGCCACGGGACAATGTGACCCACATGGTGGGTCGTGGCTCCGATTTTGTTGAAGGGACTGCTATTTTGAAATACGCTTGTTTGAAAAGCTCTCTCTTACGCTCTAACCCTAGAAATTGGTCCTGTGTTTGTCGCCTGCTTCACAGAATTACTGTAGGTATACTGCAGTTGCAAATATGCATGGTTTTAACTCAAAATCTTTCGACTAATTCTTGGAAGGCATTGTCCCAAGAGGCAGACAACTAAAAACGCACATTGTCGTCAACGTGTTAAGATAATTCTTTTAAAAACCCTTAGTTTCGCGAAGTCGCGAGATACACATTTCCTTCAAACACTGACAAATCTTCAGAATTTAAAGCTTCCAAAAACAGAATATGACTTAGCACTAATCTTAGCAAGCGAATGAGCGTTTATCGGTTCGAAATAACGTATTCCTACTTTTCTGAGCACAGCCTGAGACGCGACTGAAAACAATAATTGAAATGATTTCATCTTCAAATATTGTATAAATCAGAAATAAAAGAAATATGTATATCAGAAAGAGGAGAAAAAGCTGCATCGAATGACACCTTGGTTGCTTGTCGTTTATTGTTCTGTGAGGATTGAGATGCCCAAAAATGCATTTTGATAGCTCAGAAAATTATTTTCAAAAATTTTGGTAGGCCAGCTAGAGATGCCAGAAAAAAAATTTATTTATTTATTTATTTATTTATTTATTTATTTATTCATAAGCACTGCGGCGTGCTATCAATCCAACAAAACAGCTAACACGAGGATACTAAGAAGAGCCGCAATGAAAATGAAGTAGTAAACACAAAACAAAAAAAAGCCACCTAATATCTTTTTCTGACCAGCAAATAAAGCTACAACAAATGGGTGGGACCAGAGATAAGCTGAAAGGACATACTACCGAGTAGTGTAATTTCTAGACTAAAAAATTCGTTTATCCACTTACCCTCGCCAACCAACAGACATGAAAGTGGACAAACAGTGGGAGCGGGTAATATATAATAAAAAATAAATATTTTCTTCTGGCATCTCTAGCTGGCCTATCAAAATTTTTGGAAATTATTTTCAAAAATTTTGATAGGCCAGCTAGAGATGCCAAAAAATATTGTATTGTATTTTGCTTATTCTATCCAACTGTTATTGAAGCGAGTCCAAATGTTGAAAACGGAAATTTTAAAAAGTAGTCAAACTGAAGGTGGGTGAAAATCATAGTTGGAAAGCCCTGCCGATTATTGAGCAGACATTGAGGGAACTTGAACAAGAACACAACCTTTAGAAAGATGAAGAAACTCTGCATCGGATAGTACTCATAGCGTCTGTCTGTATTCATTCTGAGTGGTTTGAGTGTGGGTCTGATAAACAGCAACTTTCGGAACATTTAGAAAATGCACAATACTCGCGCACAAGTAAATGCTTCACAATACAGAGATTAGGGAGTGAAATGAAAGGTCAGGGATGAAAGAAGCTAAGACATTCTACGAATGTGAACTAGCACTGATTTTGCAGAGATTTCGGAAACAGTTTGGATAAGTTTTTTTTCAGACATGCGGGTATTAGTTGATCGTAGAAAATGAGGTGGGAGATGTTGTGATCCTTTTGCGCCTCGGCTAGAGATCAGCTTGAATGGATTTCTATATAGAGATGATGCAAATGATAAATATCTCCGCGACTTAGTCCCGTACAACATTCATTTGCCCCTATATCACTTCTATATGCAGGAACCATGCCCCCCCCCCTAGTTGTTGTAATCGGCATGCTCACTTAAACCTCCTTCCTCTCTCTATGCCAACTTCCAGAATCGCAGCTTCAAATTTGCAAAAATCGAAAAAATCTATAAAATTGATATCGAGATGAGCGTATTGACTTTTAAAATTCTCTTATATCCTCTCTGCTCCCCACAGTGGGGAATCATAAAAGTTCAAGCTGAGCTCAATACGTAGTGTATGTTTGAGCAATCGCAATCATACAGCTTTGCCCTACTAATTTTTTTGGATAAAGGCTGTGCTTCTTACTTGCTTTGAAAATTACGGTCATCAGAGCAAGTTTTAACTATTGAAAGTATGAATCAAGTAGATTTCGCATCACAATTAAAATGTAATTCGCATCACTTAACACAGCAGATAAGTTGTATTGGATCGTAATTATGAAAACTCATACATAAGACATACACATAAATTCCCCCAGCACACGAACGTTATGTCCACTGATTATGATAAAAGTTGCCCAAAGTGGCCAATGTGAAGCCGCTCTTAGTCAAAACGAGCATTTACTTTGTGTGATTCTGCTAATTTTAGGACATGCATTCTGCTTAAAAAGATGTCGTAGATCACGTTCAGAATTCTCACAACATGTTTTCACAATACTTCAGTCAAGGCATGCAGTTCCCGAGCGGAATCAGGTCAAATATTACTGTATTTCACAATCTTATCTATAAAGCTGAATGTCTGTTTGTATGTCTGTGTGTACGTATGTTCCGAATAGAAAATTCCATTTTTAAACCGATCCGGACCAAACTTGGCACACATACACTTCGGGCCCCGGCGGGTGTCATAGGCTACTTTTCGTATCGATATCGATTTTATCGATTTTTTGCAAAATTTGAGCTACGGGGCTGAGAGTTGGCACAGGGGGGTAATCGAGCATGCTGATTACGAATATAATAATGACAGGGCCGGGCGGAGCCGGGTAAGTCAACTAGTAAGATATAAACACCATTGAAAAGCATATTTGAAGCGATCTAAGCTCAAAAGTTTCATAAACCCTGAACTCCGTTTCTTGACGTTCGGTAGAATCAAGAAGGTTTTTTCAGCTAGAGATTGCCCTTTTTTTGTTAAAGTACTTTGTGGAACAAGCAGCACAACCAACACTCGCAAGTGCACGATTCACCATTGAGTCCCAAAAATTCAGCAATTAAAACTCACTCAGGCAGGAAAATTAGTCGATTTCCATGTAGAACATACCTTCGATAGTCTAGAGACAGGGCGTCAAAAGTGAAGGTTGTTTGAACATCTGACGTCATAAATAGTGAAGGTTGTTTAAAGATGATTAGAGAAGAGAAAATGACACAAAACAGATACAAAAAGCAAAAGAAACTGCTGAAAATAGGATAAAAACGCTGCAATGAGGCTTGAAATCTTTCATTTGGCGGCTTTTCAAAGTGCAAGTTTTCGCTTCAGGACCAGCAATTCGCAACACGGGGTTTTAATGTTTAATGCGTCCTTTGAATTTTTACCCCCGCATTGACGCTCCTATTTCCTGGGACGTTGTCTCGATTGTTGCGCTTATTGTTCTGAGCAACAATCGCCCAAGCTGGAAAAAAATCGATGCGAAGGCATTAAAACAGAACAAGGTAAAGAAAAACGCACTTTTTACGATTTTTCGCAAAAAAATCTACAATAATCGAAGAGGTAAAGGCTGGGTGGTTGTCTGCATTATAAACAGAAGCAAGATCTATAGAATGCACGAAAAAACCGGGTAAAAAGAGGTAAA